TTTGTCTGTAATATAATCAGACACTTTGCAATAAGCTTTTTTAATAAGTGTTTTTTTTTATAATATCTTTAAATTTATTTATGGTTAACTCTTGGATATTGCTTGGGACTTTATTGTATAAGCGAAAATTTAATCTTTGGCTTCAAAATTTTTAGTATTAAAAATAAAATAATGACCCGATTCTATTGACTTTTATTTGGGGTTTACTTTCATTTCTTGTTAAGAGAGTTGTGTTTGTTTGTTTTTAATTAGTTTTATATTTATGAATTTATAATTTTGACAGAATACAAGTGTGTTTTTGTCATTATAATTTAAATTTACTATTTCTAGCGATAAGTTAACATAAATCATTACATAATGAATCATATTATCGTCAATAGGTATAATGTTTTTAAAGAGTACAGTTTATCGCCGCATTGCACTTTAACTGCATGGAATCAATATTTTCGTAGTAAGTGTTATTTATTATACCTATTCATTCTGCGGATGACCTTCGTTGCGACTTATTAATTAATTAGAACGGCCAAATCTTCAAAAGGTGACTGTTCTTACGTAACGTGTTTTAAACCAGGAAATTGTTACTTTAATAATTTGACCCTTAATAAATATAAATAAATATTTCCAACACTCACACAAATTAGCCTAGCCCCAAAGTAAGCACTGTGATGGGATGCTAGGGTAACGGATAGAATACATATACTGTACATATATAAGTATATTTATATAGAAATACATATTAAACATCCATGACTGGAGTACAAATGCTCGTATTCATCACACAAATATCTGCCCCCACCGAGATTCGAACCCGGGACCTCTCGAGTAGGCGACACCATGAAACCCGGCGTCAAACCACTCGGCCACGGAGGTCGTCATCCTTGATAAAAGTGTACAACGAGCGCGGGAGATGGCTGCTCATGTTAAAAATAACAAGGGAGGTTCGTATAGAGGACGCGTCGACGGCCGCCTACAACTGTGATTGATGGCACAAAACACTTCTGTACTTTATTGATTACCATTGCATAAAGTCGAGAAATGAGGGCGCCGGTGCTGAATGCATTATGGTCTGATAACGCTGTCATGGGTTGTCAAGCGCTCCGACCTGAATTGTATTCGCAATTTCGTATAATCCTATTGTTTTTTAAAGATCACCTATATTATCTTCTATATATATAAAACTCAAAGGTGACTGACTGACATAGTGATCTATCAACGCACAGCCCAAACCACTGGACGGATCGGGCAGAAATTTGGCATGCAGGTAGATGGCATCCGCTAAGAAAGGATTTTGATCAATTCTACCCCCAAGGGGATAGGGAATGAAAGTTTGTATGAAACTTTGTCAATTTCAAACCGATCGGGCTGAGACTTTGCATGCAGGTATAAGAAGAATCATAGATGAATGTCATTGTGTATAATACAAGCCTAACAAAAACTGTAGTCTACACTTCAGCTCTACACCGAAGCGAAGCGAGGGCGGGCCTTAAATAAAAGAATTGTGCTACCTTCATCCGGCTGTATCTGTCCATAAACCTGATTATGTTACTGTTCTATTTTTCCAATGAAAACAGATCTTACAGAATTCATCAATCATTCAACCATAGACTAAGCATATTATATCACGACGTTCGAATGAACAACCCGTTTACTGTAGTAATAAACAAGTTTGTGCGTGCGTCACAAATCATATTCATCACTTAACAAAACGGGGTTCAATATCGCAATCGGGCTTTGGTAAAAATAAACATCTAAAATAGCTATCCAAAAATAGATTTTGTTCCATATTAATAGTATAAGATTTGGTAACCCTGCATCTAGGGCTGCCATCCATCCGGGTTTCCCCGGAATTGTCCTAGTTTACGGGGCGTCCGGGGAGCGTCCGGGCGGGGTTTTATTTGTAGTCCGGGTTTAAAACTTTACGGCAACGCATGAGTCGCCCTTGGTGCTGCAAGTGTCCATGGGCAGCAGTGACCACTTATTATGAGATAGACCGCTAGCTCTTTTGCCTAGATCAGTGATACCCAAAGTGGTCTATATCGACCCCTAGGGGTCTATAACAACCTGCAAGGGGTCTACGTCAGCGAAAAAAATCAATATCAGGTAAGTAGGGGTTCTACCCAACACGGAAAAAACATGGCAAGGGGTCTACGATACAAAAAAGTTTGGGGAACTCTGGCCTAGATCAACATAAAAAAGTTGATTTGTGACATTTTTCACTGTTTTTTTATTGGTCTGTCCGGGTTCTGGGCTTCAAAATCCGGGGTTATCACGCGTCTTATCTCGGTTGCCACATTTTAGAGATGGCAGCCCTACCTGCATCCATCAGCTGCGGAAGGACACTGGGAGATCGATCGAGTGACGTTTTGAGGTCGGGTTGAGCGGATGCTACCGACGACACTGCGCCGTTTTCCATTATTTTGCGTTCATTATGAAATTTATCGAAATGCATCGCATCCACCGTACCTTTGTAGTTCTCCTGACGAAATAAACGTTTAAAATCAAAATGATTAATAATATATTACAGGTGAACAGGTGCGGCAATAACATCTAGAAATTTGCTTTAAACCAAAAGTGTTTTTTACTTTTTTTCTTAGCTCAAGAATTGCAATACTTTGGTTCATGCATTTGGCCAAGTATTCTACGGTATATGTGACCTTAAAATTCCTGAAAGTGTATTATCATCGGTTGTTATGATTCGGTTAAGTTTAGGCTAGCCGGAGCTCGCACTGCTGGTTTCCAGGGGGCAAATTGCCTAACCGGATTGCTTTGGAAAACGCTATCGCTTACGATTTCATTTTGTTATTTCTAGCTGCCTGAGGTTTTCAAATGCCTCGCGCTCTTTTTTTTCCTTTTGCATTGGCAATAACAATATTAAATAAAATGAGCGTGAGGTATTTGAAAACCTTCGGCAGTCAGATATAACAAAATGAAATCGTAAGCGATAGCGTTTTCCAAAGCAATAAAGTTAGGCGATTGGCCCCCAGGGCGGGTTATCGGGGGCAGAGGCAGAGGACGGCACGTGGGGCCGCAGGGCCGTGTTGTCTGTTTGCCTCGGCCCGGCCGCTCATGGCCACTGGCCCAGATCCAGATCCCTGCGCGACTTGATTTATGTCCTATTAGCCAATCAGCCAACCCACCAGTGCTAAACTGTAAACTGTACGCCATCTCCATCATGCCTTATAAAATATCCAATGTGAGTGTACGAGGTTGAGGAACATGTCAATCTTGGATTCATTTCCTAAGCTCAAAAGAATATTGTCCCAAACATGGCATCAAACTAACTGATTAAGCTTGATAGTTATATGAAACTGTATTCTAATTTATAATTAAAAAGAACAACGTTAATGCATGCGGTGTTTACCTTAATAGATTGTTTCACTAGAGTGCATAGTTAATCTTGTAAATAGTTTTAAGAAATGTGTAAACAAACACTGGTAAACCATATAATAATAAATAATAATGTCTTATGTTACGCTGATGGGCTTTTTCCTACAATTCCTTGTTTCCAACAAAACTCGGCATAGTGAATCAAGGGTGTTTTTATTCATATACATAAGTGTATAAAAGAAGAATATGTATCTGTATCGTGAGCACGATATCAAGCTTAGATAATATAATCATATGTAGGAGGTTTTTAATTTTATCTGTTATATATATTATAAAATTATATTTAAATAAAACTAGTTTTTCACGGGTTAATGCACGAAACTTTATTTATTTATTGACGTTTCGCAGCCTTTACAGGCTGCTTCGTCGGTTTTTTTTTTAATTGATTCCGACGACGCAGCATGTAAACGGCTGCGAAACGTCAATAAATAAATAAAGTTTCGTGCATTAACCCGTGAAAATTAATGAGTGATGTGCGTGAAAACCTAAGAAACAAATAAATTATATTTAAAATAAAGACATACCAACCCAGTTATACAAGAACGGATTGACTACAAATATATAAAACCCAGTTAAAAAAGAACGAATTAACTACAAAAATATAATGACCTCAACTCACTGCATCGTAATAAATCGCGAGTAACACGACCTGCTAATGCCTTACACGTGCTATCAGTTTTTTTCTTCTTGCGCTCTTTGACTTGGTTAATTCTATTTGCGGAAAGCTATGTTTTTTATTTGGAATAATGACTGTCAAACTTATAACGAACACTTGCACCAGTCTTCTGAATGTTAGGCTAAATCCCGTTTAAATATTTTATATCCCCCTAATGAACTGTTAGCGCGAATTAGTTTTGAATATCATAGAAGGAATTTTATGCAACTATCCTAGGCATAATAAAATTAATCTGATATCGTATTTTACCTATATGGCCAAAATGATTAGGTGCGTTTATTTTTTTTAAATATAAGATGTAGCAAAATACATTTTCTATTATTAGCTTCGCATCTGAACTCCATTGGCACTAAACATCAGGTGAGGTGAAGTCATTTGTCAGACCTATCAATAAAAAGACTAAAATACTAACGTAAATGTCGTGGAACACTCGGTTGGAACTAAGTTAAAAATATTTATGTACCACCCACCATTCCACACAGGGCCCGAGTGGCTTATCATGACCTAATCTTCCTAGTCCCTCAATAAAATAAAAGAAAAATATTTAGCATCCACCAATTCGCACCGGGTGGACGCGACGTGGCAAGTCAAGGCCCAATTCCCTATTCCATAATCAAGTCCACAGCCACCGCTGTCCGTGGTCGCTCACCTAGCTACCCACCCAGCAGCCTAGTTAGCTGCCTCGCTTCGGTTGTGACGGAAAATCTTACATTTTTTCGCCTGGCCCCATTTAATTTGACATTGGAAGTTTGTATTTAACACCAGTCATTTTATTCGAACAAAGTATCGCGATTCGCGAGTGTTGTTGTAGGTATTAAGAAAACAGTTTACCTTGCTTTGTGATCATTTTTAATTGGTTAGATGTAGTACACTATGTCAAGACAAGAAGCGCCACGCGCGTCGGCTTGCCAACAAACAATGGATCCGTGATTTGATTTCAATCCGGCGAGCGACAGGCAATTGTTTTATCTGTCCGCAGCCACGTGTCGCCGCGGCCGGCATGCGCGTTCAAGACCTTCACCTATTCACATAACTAACAATATCATAATCACTTTTTAATAGCTGTTCTGATACTAGTGATGCAACCAGAGCCTTCAGATCTCTTTACTCCCTTCGGTTGCATCGAATTTAATCTAATACTCTAATGTACTAGGCTTAAGCTGAATGAAAGAAAAAAATGTCAAAACGTTTTACCTGTGTAATTATTTTAATTTCTAACGCGTGGTAAAGTTGGTAAGTCAGTTATTTATTTTCTAAATGTATTATTACATCATAATATATTTTCTAGGTTGGCAGAGTATCAAAGGTACACTGATATACATATAAGTAATATACAGGCATGCTTCTTGGGCCTGAATATTTCAGCAAACAGCAGTTTCCTATCTATCTGCATGCAAAAGTTAGCAGAGCATTTTTATGAGATGATGCAATTTTTATTCTTTTGCTCCATCGTGGCTTTTGCGAACATGTAGTAGTGACTGACATCTAGAACATCGTTAATTTAAGTAAAATTCTTGTATAATATATTCCACTTGATTATTGATTGAACCTTTATAGAGGAACAATTCCGTCACACATGATTTAACAGTTTTCGCAGAGTATTCGCAACGCACGCAACGGAAACTGTCAAAACTTTGTAATTTTTTTCATTGATGCTCCACTCCTGGTCGTAGCGTGATGTTACGAGTGCGGGGTGATAAGTAACTAGCCTTTGCTATTTAAAAGGTTAAAATTTAAAAAATATATGTATTTTTAAATTCGTATCTCTGGCCACCTGTGTTCTAAATTTGAATTTGGTGGCGCGAAAATTTTATTGATTTCTTGTCATTTGAAAATATATTTCGTCAACTGTTTTCAAAATGGATGAAATTGAACATTGAGTCCACTGTTTTGTTTGAATTTTTGATTCTGGCGTGTAATGATGAACCCATGTTTCATCTGTTGTTACAAATCGACGTAAAAAATCGGCCTTATTACTCTGAAAACGGTCCAGACATTGTTTTGAGTTTTGCACCCGAATCCTTTTTGGATCGTGCGTAAGCAATCGTGGCACCCAACGGGCCGATAACTTTTTCATATTTAATTCCTCAATTAGGATATGATGTACCCGTTCTTTTGAGATACCTGTAGTGTTAGCTATTTCAGATAACTTGAATCGTCGATCTGCTAAAACCATATCATGTACTTTCACGACCATTCCCGGAGTCATGACGCTTTTTGGACGTCCGGGGCGGGCTTCATCTTGGACCGCGTTTAAACTCAGCTACCCAGTTTTTTACTGTGGCATAAGAAGGAGCACATTCACCCAAAACATTCTTTAACTCGTCATAGATATCTTTCCCCTACATGCCCTTCATATGAAGAAACTTCATCACCGCTCTTTGTTCAATTTCATCCATTTTGAAAATAGTTGATGAAATATATTTTCAAATGACATAAAATCAATAAAATTTTCGGGCCACCAAATTCAAATTTAGAACACAGGTGGCCAAAAATACGAATTTAAAAATGACATATATATTTTTTAAATTTTAACTTTTTAAATAGCAGAGGCACGGCAGAGGTTAGTTACTTATCATCCCGCACTCATATATAGCCATATGATATTAGTAAGATAGAGGCAGTTGCAAAATGGTATCCGCCGAAGTCCTCCAAGTGGTCTGTTGACTCATGTCACTAAACCACAGCCATAAACGATGTATTTATTGTTGCTAACGATATTAGGCTTCTTGCTTATTTTATTTTTGCTAACGCAGTTTTATTTATAGGTTTAAACCACAATTGTTTTAATGATATTGTTTCGAAGTTTATGTTAAAACTGAGGCAAAAATAACTATTATCAAAGAGCGATTGGGGAAACCCCACACACACTTGAACTACAAAATGAAAAATCAAAAGGCGGTGCTTATGACAAAACTAGAGTAAGTCTTTTAACATTATCCGAAATGAAATGAAATGAAAAATCTTACCTTACACAATAAAAAAATCCTATAAATAAAAATAGAAAATCTGCCTTTTGGATATACCTGTTTAGCTTACTAGTATGTTGGTGTCGATTATGACATGATTCTCTAAACCTAAACTTAAATTTTACAACAGTGCATCCTTGTCATTCTGTATACAGAATGAAAAGAAGACACCGATGTTAAATTTAGTTTTAAGCTTAGAGAATCATGCCAGAATCGACAACAATATCATCATATCTGACCTTTTTATGTCACCACTGGCTGGGGCACGCACGGGTCTTGATTTAATGTCACCACTGGCTGGGGCACGCACGGGTCTTGATTTAATGTCACCACTGGCTGGGGCACGCACGGGTCTTGATTTAATGTCACCACTGGCTGGGGCACGCACGGGTCTTCATTTAATGTCACCACTGGCTGGGGCACGCACGGGTCTTCATTTAATGTCACCACTGGCTGGGGCACGCACGGGTCTTCATTTAATGTCACCACTGGCTGGGGCACGCACGGGTCTTGATTTAATGTCACCACTGGCTGGGGCACGCACGGGTCTTGATTTAATGTCACCACTGGCTGGGGCACGCACGGGTCTTGATTTAATGTCACCACTGGCTGGGGCACGCACGGGTCTTCATTTAATGTCACCACTGGCTGGGGCACGCACGGGTCTTCATTTAATGTCACCACTGGCTGGGGCACGCACGGGTCTTCATTTAATGTCACCACTGGCTGGGGCACGCACAGGTCTACATTTAATGTCACCTCTGGCTGGGGCACGCACGGGTCTTCATTGAATGTCACCACTGGCTGGGGCACGCACGGGTCTACATTTAATGTCACCACTGGCTGGGGCACGCACGGGTCTACATTTAATGTCACCACTGGCTGGGGCACGCACGGGTCTTCATTGAATGTCACCAGTGGCTGGGGCACGCACGGGTCTACATTTAGTGTCACCACTGGCTGGGGCACGCACGGCTCTACATTTAATGTCACCACTGGCTGGGGCACGCACGGGTCTTCATTGAATGTCACCAGTGGCTGGGGCACGCACGGGTCTTCATTGAATGTCACCAGTGGCTGGGGCACGCACGGGTCTTCATTGAATGTCACCACTGGCTGGGGCACGCACGGGTCTACATTTAATGTCACCACTGGCTGGGGCACGCACGGGTCTACATTTAATGTCACCACTGGCTGGGGCACGCACGGGTCTTCATTGAATGTCACCAGTGGCTGGGGCACGCACAGGTCTACATTTAATGTCACCTCTGGCTGGGGCACGCACGGGTCTTCATTGAATGTCACCACTGGCTGGGGCACGCACGGGTCTACATTTAATGTCACCACTGGCTGGGGCACGCACGGGTCTACATTTAATGTCACCACTGGCTGGGGCACGCACGGGTCTTCATTGAATGTCACCAGTGGCTGGGGCACGCACGGGTCTACATTTAGTGTCACCACTGGCTGGGGCACGCACGGGTCTTCATTTAATGTCACCACTGGCTGGGGCACGCACCGGTCTACATTTAATGTCACCACTGGCTGGGGCACGCACGGGTCTTCATTTAATGTCACCACTGGCTGGGGCACGCACGGGTCTTCATTTAATGTCACCACTGGCTGGGGCACGCACGGGTCTTCATTTAATGTCACCACTGGCTGGGGCACGCACGGGTCTTCATTTAATGTCACCACTGGCTGGGGCACGCACCGGTCTACATTTAATGTCACCACTGGCTGGGGCACGCACGGGTCTACATTTAATGTCACCACTGGCTGGGGCACGCACGGGTCTTCATTTAATGTCACCACTGGCTGGGGCACGCACGGGTCTTCATTTAATGTCACCACTGGCTGGGGCACGCACAGGTCTTCATTTAATTTCACCACTGTCTGGGGCACGCACGGGTCTTCATTTAATGTCACCACTGGCTGGGGCACGCACGGGTCTTCATTTAATGTCACCACTGGCTGGGGCACGCACGGGTCTTCATTTAATGTCACCACTGGCTGGGGCACGCACGGGTCTTCATTTAATGTCACCACTGGCTGGGGCACGCACGGGTCTTCATTTAATGTCACCACTGGCTGGGGCACGCACGGGTCTTCATTTAATGTCACCACTGGCTGGGGCACGCACGGGTCTTCATTTAATGTCACCACTGGCTGGGGCACGCACGGGTCTTCATTTAATGTCACCACTGGCTGGGGCACGCACGGGTCTTCATTTAATGTCACCACTGGCTGGGGCACGCACGGGTCTTCATTTAATGTCACCACTGGCTGGGGCACGCACGGGTCTTCATTTAATGTCACCACTGGCTGGGGCACGCACGGGTCTTCATTTAATGTCACCACTGGCTGGGGCACGCACAGGTCTTCATTTAATTTCACCACTGGCTGGGGCACGCACGGGTCTTCATTTAATGTCACCACTGGCTGGGGCACGCACGGGTCTTCATTTAATGTCACCACTGGCTGGGGCACGCACGGGTCTTCATTTAATGTCACCACTGGCTGGGGCACGCACGGGTCTTCATTTAATTTCACCACTGGCTGGGGCACGCACGGGTCTTCATTTAATGTCACCACTGGCTGGGGCACGCACGGGTCTTCATTTAATTTCACCACTGGCTGGGGCACGCACGCGTCTTTCACCACTGGCTGGGGCACGCACGCCTCTTCATTTAATGTCACCACAAGTCTTTACTAGAGATGAACAACCACGCCAGCCGAGTTAGGATTGTGGGTGCTAATGATTGCAGATACAGCCGAAACCAACACAGATTACTTTGTTGGTTTAGGCTATTATAGCATGCCTTCCGAAGCTCCGAACGGCACGGAATAATCCAGTTTTTCTCCACCCATCTACTGTAGTATAATATACCTATGATTATGTCACATTAAATCTTAAATCAGCTGCTGATTTATTATATCTCAAGAAAAACTTCTTGGAAATACCGAACTTATCTCAGGTTATTTGGCGGGTTCGTCCGTAGGTAGTTTCTCTGCAATATAAATCGTAAAAACATAATAATTAATTAGCAATAACCTGTTCTATCAAGCAGTGGTGAATGATATAGGTCAATAAATGACATATTGATTTTATATTATCAACAATTATTTATGTTTATGATTTTTTTTAAGCATTTAACTGCTCGCTGCGCTGCCTTGCAGCGTAAGGCTAGGAAAATTTCGACGCGGCTAATAGGGCCGTGGTAGCATAATGGTCAGTGCATTCGCCCGGATAGCGAAGGATGCGGGTTCGAGTCCCGTCCGCTGCCTGGTCCGCGTGGATTTTTTTTCTAGTAAACTTTTCTTTAGAATTATTTATATTTATTTGTTTTACCAATTTGATATGTTGGATAACTACTGGTCCGATCCGTGGTATTGTTTCTCTCTAGTTGAGCTTTGAGTTGATGAGCTCAACTAGAGAGAAACAATACCACGGATCGGAATTATAGAATATAGAAGACCTAGCCCAAGTCCCATACAAATATGAAAAATCTCCTTTGGTTAGAGGAAGCACAATCAGATGTTGGGGCACTTTATTAAACAGTGCGATACTAGAACCCCAGAACAAAAACATTTTACTTAGGACAGATAAAGGCGTTGCCTTTATCAAAAAGCTTAGTATTTGGAATATACGCCATGAAAAACGAAATTTTGATACATTTATTGCAATTTCTGAATATATTTACAAAAATTAGAATATATAAAATTCAGTTTTTGACCATGTTATAGAGCATGAAAACGCATTTATGTGAATTGAAGATGCAGTTACTAGAATATTTTCAAAATGACAACAATGATTTATCGAAAAGATGGGTTCTAAATCCGTTTGATGACAATATTGTTGCAGCTGCCGAGTTACGAATTGACACTCACAATCTACTCATTGAACAATCATCTGGTAAAACTTTGCAACTGGATTTTTTATGTCAAGGTTTAGATAAATTTTGGTTTCCACGACGACGTGAGTACGGAAGCCCAGTAACTAGTAACGGATACCCAGAAACTAGTAACGGAAACCCAGTAACTAGTCACGGAAGTTTTGAAAACATGATACCCTTTGCTACTTCTTACTTACTTATACGAAAAACGTTTCTCGTCTATGGTGGCTTTGAAAACTAAATACAGAAATCGCCGGTTATCACTAGAAAATAATTTACTCACGAGTGTTTGCAAAGATGATCCACTTATAGAAATACTTTCAAGTGAGAAACAATGCCAAATATCGCATTAATTAGTTAAAGTTCATGAATAATCATTTAATTGAAATAAAGTAAGCTTAAAAGTTTAAATTTTCATGTTATTTATTACATCTTAATATTAAGTATTATAACACTACAATAAATTCACTCCTTTAATAAAAGAATCTTTTGTACCCATATGTAGTTTCTATTATTTTCAACAGACTGCAACCCCTTTTAAAACCAAACTCGACCCCCCCTGAAGTGGCATATTTACGATATATTTTGTTGATCGAAGATTTCGTGTTTTTGGCATCGAAATGCACTATCTTCGTCTTGTATAAAGGTTAATTGAATTATATGAGGAACTTTATGTATATTTAAGATGAATATAATGGTATTTTCGCTATGTGTCGTTCTTAAACAGCAAGTTAAAGAGTTACTCTATTTTTTACATGTGTTATGTTTTGTCCGTATCGAATAGACGCGAGAAGTTTTCATTTAATAGTAAGTCATAGTTATGTTTATCACAAGTTACATGTTTTTTGTTAGTTATATGTGCTTGTGTTGACAATTTTAGTATTAAACGTATCTTTTAATAGGAGAAAAATACGTTTTTTTTCTTTAATTAATGAATTACGTCACTAGATAATGCAATTCTTGGAAACGAAAGTGCATCAATTGACACAAATATTTACCAATAGGTATGCGTTTTGCGATAAACATGACCGCTACGCTACACTACGAAGAAAGTCACCTGTTGCGCAATCTCTTTCTCAATTAAACGTGTATTGTATTGAAAAGTTTACTAGAAAAAGAATCCACGCGGTCCAGGCAGCGGACGGGACTCGAACCCGCATCCTTCGCAATCCGGGCGAATGCACTGACCATTATGCTACCACGGCCCTATTCGCCGCGCCGAAATTTTCCTAGCCTTAAGCTGCAAGGCAGCGCCATCTCTTCGCATTGTAGGCAACCCACAATGTGAAATGAATACTTTTTCAAGTATTAAACATTTGAAAGAAGAAATAGCAATTATAGTTACGTTTTTATTTATTTTTTAAGCATTTAATTGCTAGATGTTCAAATCTAAAGAAAAGTTTACTAGAAAAAAATCCACGCGGACCAGACAGCGGACGGGACTCGAACCCGCATCCTTCGCAATCCGGACGAATGCACTGACCATTATGCTACCACGGCCCTATTCTATTCTATTTTGGCCCTATTCTATTTTCTAGCAAACCTTACAGACCATATCTTAGTATACACCTTAGATTAGAATAAAAAGGTAAGATACGGCATTCGCGGCTCAAAAGTGATCCGCTTAAATTGTGGTCCACGACCATAATTTGCTTGAGTCAACATTTGAGATTCAAACACGCTGCATGTACACTCAATATAACAATATTGCGTATATTCTGTGTTATGAAGATATAACAATGCCTTCGATGCTTTTATAAAGAAAAGAAATAGTTCAAAATCAAATGCCCCGGCAACACTTTTCATTCGTAAAACTGTGAAAACATTTTTTTCTAAAAAATCACGGTTTGTCATGAATATTATTTACGTAATCGCCATTTTGTATGCAAGAAAAGGACAACAATACGCTGCGTTGAAGCGTATAGTTCTGTCTCGCTCGCTCGATTGATATTTAGATACAGACGTGTGCGTGGCGAGAGTTGCTTATGTAGTTGAGTCGGATCATATTTTCTTTCTTTCTAGTATGAGCGTACCGTATCTACCCTTTTGTTTTAATCTAAGGTATACACCGTGTTCTTGAGGATATACCTACATTAACTTTGAATAATACTTCTATACCTCTTGTTGAACATATCGTACAAAGAAAGTAGTAGTTTAAATAGCATAGTTTTTAAGTTATTGGTAATTTAAGTTTAACCAACTTAATTGTGTTGTGCATTGAGAAAGAGTCTTTATCTGTGAGATGTTGCCACTTTGTGCAACCAAAACTATCAAACTATCAACTCTTTGTCAATGGTCATTAAGTCATAGTTTCAAAAGTCAAAATTTTAAAAAACATTGTTGACGTCAAGAAAAGTTTCAAAAAGTTTATGTGGACATGTGAACCAAAGTTTCAAATGCGACGTTGCCAGCTCAGGTAAAGAGTAATTCCTATAAGATAAATTACATCTTCGCATTTAGTTTGTATGAAAATAAAAAATGTTAAAGAAATTGGAATTCGTAAAAGTGTCCATAGTAAAAAATGATCAATTTAATAGTCTGAATAACATGCCAAAGTTAGTGTATAACCTCAGGAACACGGTGTATATGTATCATTTAATTAAATAGAAAGATACACCTAAAATCCCTTCTCAAATGTCCTACTCACAAAACTGACTTTGCATCCTACTCTTTTACAGTACATGCCATCCGCTTATGGAACTCGTTGCCAGCAGAAATCAGAGACGCCCAGACCATTTCTACCTTTAAAAAACGATTGAAGGAACACTACCTACTACAAAAATTATAAGTTGGTTACTATGAGTGTGACAGTGTCAACAAGCAAAGGTTCCCGGCCTGATAAAATAATGCTTTCTTTTAGCGTTGCAGTGCATATCATATCTTGTTTATTTTTACCCTAATTAATGTTAACAAGTTATCTCACGTAAAACTGTTTACACGTTTCGAAGCTTCCTCATAAGGTAACTATGTCAGCAAGCTTCTATGCTACATTATGTTGCCTTGCCTAATACAATTATAATACGATTATTTTATTAAATCAATTAAATTTTTGTTACGGCCAGGCATTAAATATAATCTTACAACGTTTTTTGTGACGCACACGCCGTCTTTTTTTAAGTAGGTACTAGCTGACCCAGCGAACTTCGTACCGCCCTAAAAAATAGGGGTTGTCCAGCGGACAAAATTGTGAATCTAAACCATTCTCAGATCCCCTTGAACACACACAAAAAATTTCATCAAAATCGGTCCAGTCGTTTAAGAGAAGTTCAGTCACATACACACTCACAGAAGAATTATATATATAAAGATAGGGGCGTATTTCACCACGTAACATTTGCACCCCGAACATAGGTAAGTAACGAATGCCTTTATACGGCTTTAGCGACCCCTCGCAGCCTGCCACCACTGCGCCTGCTTATACGAACTCGTTACAGTGAATTTGTGTGACTGACTGTCTGATGTAGCACCAATTCATCGTAATGTTGAAACCGTACTCTTTTGGAGAATTGTGTGTTAGTTGATCATACCCACTCAACCCATATCTGCACTTACATGAACGCACATGACTGTTACTATATTATTGTTGTAATGTAAATGAAATTATACCTACCTCATATGACCTGCCTTCGGTACATCGGTATACTTACCCACAGATCATCTTGAATTCGACGCAATAAATCGTACCCAATTAATAGTCGATGCGTGTTTTCTCTATTTATTAATCGTTACTTTTAGAGTAATACTCGATAATGTTTATAAATAAATGTTTCATTTGTGTCGCGTAGGAGTACGATCTACTTTTTATTTATTGAAAACAAAGTCTTGCCTAATTTATTTTTATATTCTTATTTGCATCGTTATATTTTTCTTATTAATGCCCCTATTCTTGAAGGAGCTTGAGGTGTGACTTCACAAGCTCCTTTAAGTGTCGCCGCACACGAGCCACCGACCACAACCACAAAACTCCGCCACCGGCATATTTCTTGTAGTTTTCATACATTTTTTATGGACTTGCCAAACACGGTACGCCGGCGGCCGCCACACGCTACAAATCGTCGTTGCTCGCTTCTTGTGGCCCGCACCGGCCACTTAATGCGCCGATACAAAACGCCACCACACGTCACTCGCGCGATTTCCCACCCCTCTCTCCCTTACCTTAGTCTACCGATGTCGCGCGCTTCAGTCACTTTAGTAGCCGCTTCTAGCTTCTCGTGGCGGCGTTTGTGACTGTGGCGTGTGGCCCGTGTGCGGCTACACTAAATTCCACAACATTTACACGCTGAGGTGTACTCTTGCCAAGGCTACGTTACCGTGTAAGTTTGATAAACGCACCATCAAGTCCTGTTTCATGGGACAGCTCCACATATGACTATGCTGATTCTACGCAGCGAAGGTTAGCCTACCCTTTAAACGCACCATCAAGTCCTGCTGATTATCACATCTCATACAAACTTTATGCTACTGGTCCGAACGATTCACATGCTTTTTAGTCGTGCGAAACACTAAGGAATAAAATTCCATTCCTGTGTCATTATTCCCCGATATATATAATATAGTTCTTTAAGGCTAGAGTACATAGGTATTATGTGAATCTGCGTGGTCCATCTTAGACCACATTGTTGCTTACTATCAGGTGCGTTTGTGGTCAAACGCATTATTATTAATAAAATAACCGCGTGGAAACGCTTTTTGTAAAACTTTCTTTAGATTTATAGATCTAGCAGTGTATTGCCTAAAATAACAATACAATTAATATATAATGTTGTTCATTGGTACGCAGGGTCGGCGCCGGCGCTCGCGGCCGGGCGCGATGGAGGACGAGGTGACGTTCCTGTTCCAGCTGGGGGTGATGCGCGACGCGGTGTCGGCGCCCGCGCACCTTCTCACGCTCGCCTACCTCAAGGAGCTGGCCGTCAAGTTCGTGCACGAGAAGGTACCTATATGACGTTCCTGTTCCAGCTGGGGGTGATGCGCGACGCGGTGTCGGCGCCCGCGCACCTTCTCACGCTCGCCTACCTCAAGGAGCTGGCCGTCAAGTTCGTGCACGAGAAGGTACCTATATGACGTTCCTGTTCCAGCTGGGGGTGATGCGCGACGCGGTGTCGGCGCCCGCGCACCTTCTCACGCTCGCCTACCTCAAGGAGCTGGCCGTCAAGTTCGTGCACGAGAAGGTACCTATATGACGTTCCTGTTCCAGCTGGGGGTGATGCGCGACGCGGTGTCGGCGCCCGCGCACCTTCTCACGCTCGCCTACCTCAAGGAGCTGGCCGTCAAGTTCGTGCACGAGAAGGTACCTATATGACGTTCCTGTTCCAGCTGGGGGTGATGCGCGACGCGGTGTCGGCGCCCGCGCACCTTCTCACGCTCGCCTACCTCAAGGAGCTGGCCGTCAAGTTCGTGCACGAGAAGGTACCTATATGACGTTCCTGTTCCAGCTGGGGGTGATGCGCGACGCGGTGTCGGCGCCCGCGCACCTTCTCACGCTCGCCTACCTCAAGGAGCTGGCCGTCAAGTTCGTGCACGAGAAGGTCCTACATGCCGTTCCTCGACCGCCCGTCGCCGTCACCGAGAATGAGATTTTTGTTTTCCTCAATGGCTTCGCACGGCATGTGCATTTAGCCAATGTCAAGTGTTAAAAATGTTTACAAATTCTATAGCACTCGTGGTCAAAGTATTATATCAACTCAAAGTAAGTGGCAGTCAAGTCAATCCCCCTTTCCCTGTGTTTCAGTAAATGTGTGGGGATTTACTGGAACCTCCCCGTGGACTTCTTGAGGGAACGTCGAAAGAAACTTTCCGCTATTTTGTTTCGCTTGCTAACACTTGTTCATGTTCCCGAAGACTTAGTGGTTAATAATCCACCATTATTAGACACTAAAATCCGCCACAACACAATTTTTAACAAGAAAAACAAAACAGCTAAAGTGACGCTTTCCGATTTCGCCAAAAAGTGATGAGATTATTTATGTATGAGATCTAGATGAAGTGACGGGCTTTTTTATGTTAAAAGTGTGGCAAATAAGCATATGGTCCGCCTGATGGTAAGTGGCAGAAAATATCGCACGCGCCGTTGCCTACCCTGACCCAATCCCTCCCTGACATATTCCTTGACGCTTCCCCGTGGGGAGCCCTGAAACCTTACTCACCGACGACAGAAACACAACACCGCCAAAAGGTAGTGTTATTTTACTGTGATCTTCCGTAAGGTAGAGGTTACTTCCCCAGGTGCGCGGCCATTCGGAGACGGGTTCCGCGACCACACCCGCCCTCGGCATGCACTAGGGGGACCGCGGTCCTCATAGTGCGTGTCGGGTGACGGTGCTGGAGTATTGTCTGGTTTTTAGTGGCCCTGTTCAGGACGTAGGTAGGGCTCTGTTCACATCAGCGAGCTCCAGGGCTGGCTGAAGAGGACAGGGAGGAGTCCCACATACCTTCTTCTCGCTCCCCCAGTGGTCGAAGGATGCGTAAGGCATTTTCCAGACACAAAAAAAAAGGTTACTTCCCCAGACGGGTGCTCCAATTCGAGCGGAAAATCCGCTATACCCTACTTCACTGGTAGTGGAACGCTTGTGGAGGATAAGCGTCTATAGTTAATGTCTGTGTCGATACCTCGTTATCGTTAACGTTCCGGTCACGGCCGCGGTGGACAAACAGCCATACGCGCAGGCAAACTTCTTGAACATTCCATTTCTTTTTGTTGAAGTGAATCTTCTATCCGGACGGGTCCGGGGTGTAAATGGAAAAATCCAATGGAAAGGTTGAAACGGAAATGTGTCATGAGAGTCACACGACTATATATATATATATATATGTGTGTGTGTGTGTGTGTGGGATGCGTACGCGGCTCTTCCCGACGAGTATGAAAGTTGGAGGGTAACGCGGCGAAGGCTGAAACCTCTACGAGCGTCACACGCGACAATTATTTAAAAAAGAATTTTCACTTCAGATGTGTGGTCCATGCACACAATTGTTTTTCAAATGTTCAAGAGTCTGAAATATAGAAAATGTAGTGTTTTTGTCGATAACTTCAACATTGTTGTACGGATTGTTACTTCGTGATCATAGCTCTTGCAACAGTGCCGAAATATTGGGGCACGTAAAATACAAGGTAAATGGTAGCAACCACGTTTATAATATAAACAATGTGACCATGGAAGTTTAAAACAATATATTGTTGTACGTTCGCCAGATCCCTGACAACGGCTTGAACCGCCTGTCGGAGCGCATCCTGCTGTTCCGGCACGACTACTGCTCGCCCAACGTGCTGCAGCTAGTCAACGCCGCCTCCGATGTCACCGATGAGACCCTGCTCGAGATCGTGCTCACTGCTAACCGTGAGTCCACCCGTTCTTATCCATATAGCATTGATTGGCAGACAACAGATTGAAAATCCTGTCAAAGCGTATCCTGCTGTTCCGGCACGACTACTGTTCGCCCAACGTGCTGCAGCTGGTCAACGCCGCCTCCGACGTCACCGACGAGACCCTGCTCGAGATCGTGCTCACTGCTAACCGTGAGTCTACCCGTTCTTATCCATATAGCATTGATTGGCAGACAACAGATTGAAACTCCTGTCAAAGCGTATCCTGCTGTTCCGGCACGACTACTGCTCGCCCAACGTGGTGCAGCTGGTCAACGCCGCCTCCGACGTCACCGACGACACCCTGCTCGAGATCGTGCTCACTGCTAACCCGTTAACATCCATATAGCAACGATTGTCAGACAACGGATTGAACCGCCTGTCGGAGCGTCACCGACGACACCCTGCTCGAGATCGTGCTCACTGCTAACCCGTTAACATCCATATAGCAACGATTGTCAGACAACGGATTGAACCGCCTGTCGGAGCGTCACCGACGACACCCTGCTCGAGATCGTGCTCACTGCTAACCCGTTAACATCCATATAGCAACGATTGTCAGACAACGGATTGAACCGCCTGTCGGAGCGTCACCGACGACACCCTGCTCGAGATCGTGCTCACTGCTAACCCGTTAACATCCATATAGCAACGATTGTCAGACAACGGATTGAACCGCCTGTCGGAGCGCATCCTGCTGTTCCGGCACGACTACTGCTCGCCTAACGTGCTGCAGCTGGTCAACGCCGCCTCCGACGAGATCGTGCTCAAACATCAAAGTCCACCCGTTTACATCCAGATTAATATTATAATTAAATGAGTGTGTAACTCCTGTCTGTTACACTATCTCAAAAAGAAAACCGCTGAACGAATTTTGTTCATTGAAAAGATAGGAAAGTTCGTATGAAATCCAATTATTTTACGCAGATAAAATTGCTAGCAACTTTTTTAATAATGGTGATGACGGGGTACAGTAAACGAAATTCTATTTAGTCGTTCAGTTAGATGATCAAAAAATAATGGATACGTATTTTTTCTTTGGGGAATCAACCAAAAAATGACAAAGTCACTTTTTAGTGAATTTTCACTTAAAAGTGTACTCAAACGTGACGTCATGCGACTTTTCAAATCAATATATCTCTGCATTGTTTATATTATGTGAAAAAAGAAAAAAATACGTGTCCAATACTTTTTGATAATCTACCTGATAAACGAAGAAAAAAAATAGTCATCATCCCTATGAGAAATGAAATCATTATGTTTATAATGCCCCTTGAGAGGTTCGCAGATCAAAAACA